GCTGGAGTGCGGTTGCAGCTGCTCTCGGGAATCAGAATTCGAATCGGAATCAAATTAACTCGATAAGTTATTGAGGAAAAGTCGGGCCCCCTCGAACAACGGCCGGGAGTACGGAATACGGTATACGGTACACGGTACACGGATCTCGACCTCGTCGGTAATTTGGTGCGTTTGCGTGCCAGTCGAGTATCTGAATCTTAGAATCGAGTATCTAGCATTGCGAAGCACGAGTCCAGACCTGTCCCTCCTCGCCCGGTCGCCTCCAATAAATTATTATAATTAGCATAGTTGAGGGGACATCGAGTCGCAGCAGCAGCAGCAGCCGCAGCCGCAGCAGTTAAACGGCAGTGGAATTTAGCGCTGTTAGTGGAAATTTTGTGAAAACAAAAGGGGAAAAATTCCAGGCCGCCAGCGCCATGTCCGCTGGCAATGTGAGCCATGCTCTTGGACCGCCTCGCGATCCGCTGGCCATTGTGATACCCGTAACCGTGGTCTACTCCCTGATTTTCCTCACTGGTGTGGTGGGCAACATAAGCACCTGCATTGTGATTAAGAAGAACCGTTCGATGCACACGGCCACGAATTACTACCTCTTCTCGCTGGCCATCTCGGACTTCCTGCTTCTGCTGTCGGGCGTTCCGCAGGAGGTGTCCTACATCTGGTCCAAGTACCCGTACGTGTTTGGGGAGTACATCTGCATCGGACGTGGTCTGTTGGCGGAGACATCGGCGAATGCTACGGTGCTAACGATAACGGCCTTCACGGTGGAGCGGTATATTGCCATCTGCCATCCGTTTCTAGGGCAGGCCATGAGTAAACTCAGTCGCGCCATTCGGATCATCGTCCTGGTTTGGATTATGGCCATAGTTACGGCCATTCCGCAGGCTGCCCAATTCGGCATCGAGCACTATTCGGGAGTGGAGCAATGCGGCATCGTGCGGGTTATAATGAAGCACTCGTTTCAGCTGTCCACGTTCATATTCTTCCTGGCGCCGATGTCCATTATCCTAGTGCTGTACCTGCTGATCGGTGTGCACCTGTATAGGTCCACTTTGGTGGAGGGTCCCTCCTCCGCTGCCCGACGGCAGCAGCTGAAAAGTGTGCCCAGTGATACGATCCTTTATCGCTACGCCGGATCCGCCAACGCTATGAGTCTCAATGGAGGAGGCAGTGGAGGTGGGACAGCGGGATTGATGGGCGGCTCGGGGGCGCAGCTCAGCTCGGTGAGAGGTCGGCTCAATCACTATGGCACCCGGCGAGTACTCAGGATGCTAGGTAATTATAGAACGACAGACAAATAGATGGAGTGCACTGGGAAAAATGGCGTCAATAATGTGAGAGCCCCAAATTAAAGGACAGTTTGCTAAGTCGCTAACCATTAAGTAAACATTAAGATGATTAAATTAGTACGAAATGTCGACTAACAGAAAAGTTAACATTCCAGATTTAATTAGGTTTAGTCTTGTGAAAAGAATTATTCAAAATGTAAAGTGGAACCATTTTTGCTGAGTGTATGCCAACTGTTTGGCCATATGCCCTAAGCTGGGCTAATCAACCCGTCTGCAGCCAATTTACTGCGTTTGTCATTTCGGCACTCTCCATTTATGATGACAATTGCGATTACCGAAAAACATAATCGTCTACTCTTTATCTGTGCCTCTCGCTGCGTCTTCCCCCTTTCCATGTCCATTGCCATTCCATTACCATTTTCATCACTGACTTTTCCCGCCCCCTTTTAGTGGCCGTGGTGGTGTGCTTCTTTCTGTGCTGGGCCCCCTTCCACGCCCAGCGACTGATTGCCATCTACGCCCCTGTGCCGGGGGCCAAACTGCGGCACCAGCACGAGTTTGTCTACACGGTGATGACCTACGTCTCCGGAGTCCTCTACTACTTGTCCACCTGCATCAACCCCCTGCTATACAACATCATGAGCCACAAGTTCCGCGAGGCCTTCAAGGTGAGTAAACAGCAGTCGAGGCTGTTATATTAAAATATCTTATTTAAGAATGATATTTGTGTTCCTGAGACGGAACACGACTTTTAGATGTTATACTCGTAAATATAATGTTATTATTATGAGATACTCATTGCAGATGATTACCTTACCGTTTATCCATCCTTTCAGGCCGTGCTGCTGGGCAAGAAGGTGTCGAAAGGTTCGCTGAACTCGCGAAACAACATCGAATCGCGCCGCCTGAGGAGGGCACTAACCAATTCCAGTCAGACGCAGCGCTTCTCCATTGAGTCGGCGGAGCAGCCGAAACAGTCGCCGTCGATAATGCAAGCAAGTGCCCCTATAATCAGTGGATAGGTCCGATATTAAGTGGCTCTCTCTCTATATGCATGTACTCCACATCCAGAATCCGACGAACAAGCCGCCAGTCGCCGCTCAGTACGCCATGATCAGTGCCCAAGTCAACTGATAAACTGAAACTCACTCTCTCGTCCGGCTTCCTGATGCTAATTTATTTGAATTCTGCTTAAGCCAGTTATTTGTCGTCTATTGCTACTGCTGCTATTGCTGCTGCCAAAGCGTTTTTTAACTGCTTTTGCATTCTTTAGCATTTTGCAATTAAAAGTTAATCACAGTCGAGCGCACTCTCTCCCTTGAGCATTAGGTTTTTCATTCATTCAGCTGCGGATATCGGCTGGAAAAACACCTAAACTAGTCTTTCAAGTATTCAGAATTATTCAGTCTAAGAATATTCGATCTGTCGACTCATACTATTCAGCATACTGGCGCTCTTAAAATTAAACTTGAGTCAGAGCTGGGGGATTTACTCTTAAACAAGCCTGAGGCGGTTATAACTTAATAACATTATCGATAATGATAAGCATAAATCAATCACTAGTGAACGCCCACCACTTAAATATATGTTAGGACTGTAATAAAAAAAACGCTAACCAATTGAAATGTAATAACTTGTTCTTTGAAAAGATTATATTTAAATTGCTTAGTATATTTCTTAGTTAACCAAATGTTTCACGTACATACCAAAGTGTAAGACAGATGTGCTTTTAAAGTGTATAGTTAAGAAAATGCAAAATAATCTTGCGAACTTAAACTTGGTAGATTCTCTATGTTAATAAATAACCTTTAAATAATTTACCCAAGGTTTAGCATTCAACTTAAATCGCCCACTAACCTAAATATCCTAGAGATAACTTAAAGGATGAATTTGCTGTATTAAGATAATTCCCATGGCTGCAAATAAAGCTTAGCATATTCCGTGCCCGCTTATTTTCCGCATCTTTCTAAGGATTCACTCCAGTAAAATTGTAATTTGGACATAAAATACATTTGGGTGTTTATCGATTGTGGTTCGGTCGTCTGCGCCTTGCTGACTACAAATGAAATTCTAATGAGGTGGCGATTGGTTCAAGGTCATGCAAATGCAGGGACAACGCGGCGCATTAGTAATCTTCCAAATTGTTATGAAAATGCAATCAGCCAAATGGAAACGCCAGCCAAATTCACAGAAGTGCAAGTACGAGTGGTTTTGGCCACGATGAGGAACAACCCGCATTATAGCGACGCAAATGCGTCAAAGTCCAAAGCGCAGCGGGCCATAAAGGAGCAAACAAGTCAGATGGCTAAAGCAAAAACGATTTGTTCTGCCAACGTCACGTAAAGCCAAAAAAGAATTGGCTCAATACAACCGGCAAGAGGAGCAAAAGCCACGTACACACCCACACACACACACACACATGACCGCAAAGTGACGTAGAAATTATGAAGTTTGTGATTTACGAGCAAGTAGGGCGAGAAAAAGCAGCAGGAGGTGGAGCAGAAAATATGGCAAGTAGCTGAGCTAATTTACATCCGCACTTTGGATACCTCGTAACAAAGTGAATTCAAATCAGTAAATTGCAGAAAAAGAAAAAATACGCCTCGAATTTTTAGGTCTAAGATTTTGAAATAAAAACCAACTATCTTGTTTCTTCCTTTTATCTCGTAATATTTATGTTATTTCAGTATTTTTTAGTTTAAATTATTTATCCGATCACTTTAAGAAATTCAACATTTTTTAAACCTTTAAACAAGCGCCAAAAAGGATAATATCATGTTTAAAAGTCTTAATTACGCTTATATGTTGACACATACAATATTTATACTTTCCTAAACTCAACCATATGTACATTTATTATTTCTAGGGATCTGAATAAAGAGTTCAGTTGCCTCAGCCTGCTAATTTTACAGGGTATACCAAAACAATACATTGGAAAGCTAAAGCCACACAGAACAGCGTTTAATGTGCCAAAAGTTTAGACAAACACCCAGGCACACACACCAATACACCAGCACGTACCAGCACACCAGCACACATACACAGCAGCGAAAGAGAGAGAAAGGGAGTCAAAAGAGACGGAAGCCACCTCCCACACATTTTAGTGAGTCAAGCTGCCAACAGGTGGCGTTGACTGCAGTGTGGGAAATTAATCAGTGCAGCAGTAAAGAAGCAAAGCAAAGCGACGCTAGAGTGGACCATGTTTTTGTGCCCGTTTAAACTTTTTGTAAACTCTGAAGCTGCAGTGACTTTGATTGTGCGGTTTTCGTTTTGTTCTTAATTAGCGGAATTAAATTTGACGGCCACGACTCGTGATTCACGTGCTTAGGTTAATTTAAGCCGGCTAGACGAGAAAAATAAGCATACGCAGTGCTATCGTCAACCTGTTAAGATGTATGTATGCGTTTGCTTGGCAAACATTTGATGTATTCATAAATGTCTGCTGTTTTGCATTTAATTAGAATATGTAATAATTGCCCATAAGTGTACAAGTTTTCAACTTGTAAGAATTATTCTATTTTTCCTTTAAAACAATAGTGTACATAATTTGAAATTTATTTTTAAGTTATAAAAATATATTTCACAAATTGTTTACAGATAATGACGACATTTAAGGAATATTAAACCAATTTGGATTAAACCAATTTTAGTTCATATCACTATAGCCTTGACTTTTGCTGTAAGTCGTATTAGGTTTGACTCGACCTGATTTCAGTCAGTCAACAGCTGGAAAGTATAGGAACAGCATCGTTCTCCAAAAATTAAAAAAAAAATTACACAATAAATATAAAAAGTAAAAAAACATAGTAAAACTCTCAGAAACAAAGGTAACACAAAGTGAAAGCATAAGTGAATAGTCTCGACCTATTAGAATGTTTAATTTTCTCTTTCTTTAAGGGACGATGTCGAGCGTAATTAAGAAGGTGATTCCCATGCTGGATCGCATTCTAATCCAACGTTTCGAGGTGAAGACCACTACCGCGGGCGGCATCCTGCTGCCCGAGGAGTCGGTGCCCAAGGAGATGCAGGGCTTGGTGGTAGCCGTTGGACCCGGAGCTCGCAATCCTGCTGGTGCTGGACACTTGTCCGTTGGCGTCAAGGAGGGCGATCGCGTATTGCTGCCCAAATACGGTGGCACCAAGGTCGATATGGACGACAAGCGCGAGTATGTCCTGTTCCGCGAGAGCGACATCCTTGCCAAACTGGAATAGATATGACATAGGATAGATGGCTGCAACACTTCCTCAAACACCAAAACAAACACGATTATCTATGCTGCAAACTCTACGATCCCACCACTTATCCCCGGTCTAGACTTGCATTTTGCTTCCGGATTGCGTTCGAAACTAAATGATTATAATGAAATGTTATATTTGGTAGCTTACCAATGCACACACTTCGCACACTTCATCAGACTGTGAAACATGTCGCGCCTGCTCTTATTGCGACCCCGCACACTACCAACTCGTGTAAGGACAGGCCAAATAAACCACGTGTTCAGGTGCGTTTTGCGTATTATCAGGATTGTTTTTCTGCTGGCCAAATGGTCTTCTTACGGTGCAACAAAAAGTGTACTTTTAAAAGTGACTTAAAATTGAGCTATTCCTTGGGATCCCCCTTACTATGCAACTGTTACTCCCACATTATGCCGTACTGCCACCCATTCAAACCACCAAACACCCGCCGCCCACAGCCCACCACCCACCACCCACTCGCACTCCCACTCGGCAGCCTGTTGCGTGGGCTCCTCCGTCTAACAGCTCATTGGCAGATGGATGGCTTCGGTTCCGTTCGGATTTCTTCGTGCTGGAGGCGCTGCGGTCGGCAGTACCGTTCGTATTGGCTGTCCCGTTATCTCTGCGGCGAACTAACGGTAAATGTGCGGTGCGTACCGTTCTTCTAAGCTATAAAAGCCGTTGGCCGACCGCACTTTGTTGGCAATTCGAAGAGCGTTGGCACCTGACTCTGATCAACAAGTGGCAAGTGGAAAGTAGAACGTCCTGGGACTCTGTGTAGTGTTCGGTTTCTGAAAAGTTCTCTAAAAGTTCCCAAAGAAAATTTCGAAAGTAAATTATAACTGACGTCGGACAATTTGCGTGCAGCTTGCGAAATAAATTTTATTGAAAAATGTGGTACAGCAAGTGCAGTTGGACTTTGGTAGTGTTGGTGGCGCTCTTTGCTCTCGTGACAGGTAAAATAAAATTTAAATTATTGTTATATGATATACACAATAAATAACGAAGGTTGTATTTTTAGGTGATTAGATATTTTGAAAGATCTTTGATCAGATCTTCTGATTTATGTACAATTATGATTATTATCCTTTGAGTGCCAAATTTATAATATCTTACATTGTTCTGCTTCTTTATTAAAAACAGTGATAAGTGTTTAAGTGCCCAGTTACTTATACGCAGAATACGTTTGAAAAGCCTGCCAGTCATAGCTTGTGGTTTTCATCCTTAAATATTTAGTTATTTTCTTAAAAATATAAAAATAATATTTTGGATATACATATGTACTAAAGCTATAACTTTAAAATTCAGCAAGTTTCAGTTCTATCATTATTAATTTCTAAACGTTATTGAATAAATTAAAAATGGTTATTATTGATCAGCGCACTGTTTAATATAATGTGCTTAAAGTATTTCATTTTCAATGCTTCTTACTTAAGATTAACAGATGTTGTATACCAATAGTGAAAAAAAAAAACTGTCACGCCCACACGTTTAAAAAAAGTTGTGATATTTTTTAATTTTTTATATTTCTTCTAAATTTCTATGGATTTGCCAAAAATACATTTTTAATTTTATTATTTTTTTCCCAATTTCTACCGATATTCCAGAAAATGTTGATATTTCTCATTCACACTTCCACTAGCTGAGTAACGGGTATCTGATAGTCGGATAACTCGACTATAGCATTCTCTCTTGTTTATCTTTTTTAATTATATATATTCCAAATATTCTAATTTTATAAATCCTTAATAATAATAGTATTTCAAGACCTGGTGGGGGATTGCATTGACTGCAACTGCGGTTCCTAGTATTCTAGCCAGAATGTTAGGATGTTCCATCGTTCCAGCTCCCAGCCCATTGCTGGAATGCATGGAATGATATTCCTGTAGACCGAAAGAGGCAGCCAAGATACTTTTGCATTTCGTGAGCACAGCGCAGGTGGCTATGAGCACATCTTCTTCCTCTACTTCTGCGACTGGTCAGAACTCATTAGCACTCAAAAAGTATGCAGTTAAAGTATGAGTTGCATACTTTTGGGCAGAAGGTGCTGATGAAATGCTTTGCTTAGTCACTCAGTTCGAAGAATTCGGGCTACTATCTAAACCATAAAAATACCAAACTACTAGCTGATTAACTAACTGGTAATACGTGTTATGAATATCATGGTCATCCGGGTAAGCTCCAGCTCCCATTTTCCGATCTCACCCTACTAGCCCTCTTCCCTTTACGCCTAATCCGCTTTATCAGTTGGAGTTTTATGCGCATTTTCCTGTTGATACGCCTTTGTGTGCCCGGCGGCTTCCCTTTTTGGGATTTTCCTACGTACTTTCCTTACTCACTGCGTATGCAGACTAACCGGTGGAGTCCGGGGATCGGGGAAATGGGGGCTTTTCACCGCGGGTCGGAGAGATCAGGGGCTCGATTTCACCATCGGAACCGACACTCCCCTGCCAACACGCTTTTAACGCTTTCGATTGCCGTCGTAAATTAATCCGAACTGCGTGCAGCACCACACGGATAGAAAATGTGTTGCCAGCTCTTAATGGCTGAGGAATAAAAGATTTTGACATATTCACTACTTTAACTAATAGTTTTAATATTTAACGCGATATTTATTATATTTGCATCTGATATTCAAATACCTAAATAATTTTTTAGTTAATTTTAAATAAAGTTTTAGTTCGAAATTCAGAAAAGTAAGTCTTTCAAGTGACTCAGTAAAAATATATTTTAGAAATATATCACTCAGAGTAAAAATATATTTTTAAAATGGAATAGTTCAAAATATATTTTTCTGTGTGCATCCCTGAGTCGGGGGCAGTGGAAATTCCCGTAGTTTGAGCGTCAGCAAGAATGGAAAAATAAAACCCAAACCCAAACCCAAACCCATCCCAAACGTGTGAACCTGTCAAGCTGTGCCGCCTGCAGGCATTGCAATTGTGGGTTTCGCCTCCAGTTAGATAGCTAGATAATGCCCTTCTCTACCCGATTTCCATGCAGATTGGCCGTGGCCAAAAGAACAACCTTCCTGCCGCTGGAAAATGCGGATTGGGTTAGGTTCAGGTCGCATAGTAATAGGAATTTAGCAAATTATTTTGTGAGTGTAGACGGGAATTTTATCTTGCAAATGACTATTTCGGTTTCCATGGTTTCAATTCATGACATCGGATTTGGCCTTCTTTACCAACAATCTGCTCTTCAATCAATAACCGAAAAGCTGATAAGGCGAATAATTAATGCGTGGATATATTTTATTTATATCAATATTTATAATATTTATTATTTTGTTCATATATCACAGTGTCATCACAAAGTTATAATTAACATCTCACTTTTGGGCAATTAAGAAATTAAATCCCACCTCTAATGGCACTTCCCAATGACTTTGTTCTGCTGGGGAATCCCCAAAAAATTAGACAACACTTAGATAACCGCGCAACGATATTGACTCACTGCTGCTAAAATGATCCATTAAGTGGGGTTTTCTGTGAAATTTTCAGTCATAAAAAAGACATTACCCAGAAGTGGAGACGCCAACGCTGGCCAAGATCAAGGATATGGCTATTAAAATGCGCTGGTCAAGTTAATTAGGTATCTCTGCTGCTGGCTGGAAACGGTGTGGAAAGGGTGTGGGATTCCGCTGAAGAGGGCCATTAAAATGGGGGGAAAGCGTTTAATGACAGCCCTTCGATGCGGCGACCCCAAAAAGGCTTCAATGCTGCGAATCGCTATCTCTGATGGCCGCCATGGCTGTCAACAAGTGTGGGTTCCATATGCACGGCTGTATGGGCTTCGTAGGGCTGCCCGGCAACAATTAATCCACGGTTTAAGTAATTGACAAATGATTACGGGTTTGATATATGGCCAGGGCAGCAACAGCCGCACGCAGGCATGATGGAAATCGTCTGGCCAGGCGGGCGTGTATAATATATATTTATCTTGGCTTATGCAAACGCCAATCCCACCCTTCCTCCTGACCTTTCGGCCCATCTGCGTCATGGAACTTGTTGCTATTTGGCGTAACTCCTGCTCTTTGTTGCAGATCCGCCTGCCAGCGACTGACAGTTGCGCAAAGCAAGCGCACTTACATGCCTTTCCAAATGTCCTGTGTCCCCAGCTGAGTCCTCCTCCTTATTTCATGGTGATGCGTTGCCGTCCATTTGTATGATTAGTTCTGCGCCGCCACCTCTTCCAGGTTCTTTTTTTGGCACACAATGCACGACTGGCATCAAGGACGTTGTGTAAGCCAGGACGTTGTGAACAGCCACAGGTTGGACCTGCACGAGGCTACGCAGCTCAACTGGGTGGCTGGGAAACAGAACTTGGGGATAGACTATTTGTAATATTTTTGGCAAGAGTTATGTGATCATGTGTTCCGGGTCTATTTTAAATAAAAAATGTTTGATAAAAGCTTGCCATATCTTATAACAACATTTTTCATTTATTCAAGGCAGTTCTTTAAAGGTAATAAATTTGATATTTATATGATTTTTGTTTTTAGATAGGGATTGTATTTTTGTTATTATATTATATTATCAACCACTCGGATGCAGGAATGCCACACCTTCAAGTGGCCAAGCCGAGTGCATTACTCAACCCACGCCGACTTGGCATATGAGTTCCATAATGGTCGCATTTATCATGGGTCGCGACATTAGCAGCCAAGCACACAATAAACATGTGCTTCCTGCACGGAAAGTAGCAGCCGAAGTAGGAGCATTAATGGGATGCTGGAGAAAGTAGCTTTTACTATAGAACCGTGTAAAAAGGAAAGTTTAAAGCCCTGGCTTAGGCTCGCTGTGTGGTCGAAACCACGCTGCTGTAGGTTTTCTGACACCTGGCTGCGTTTCTAGCAAATTTACGCGCACAAAGTCTTAGAGCTGCGGCAACTGATGATGATTTATACTAAATTGGAAAAAATGCTGCATACTTTCAGGTTCCTGCCTGGAATACGGACATTCCTGCTGGGGAGGTAAGTGTTCGCCGGCTAAGCTCTGACGGGAGCAGTTCATCACAACTGGCCCAGGAGTCGTGACTCATTTTTATGTATTCCACAGCTCATGGCAAGCGATCCGGTGGGAAGGCGGTCATAGATGCTAAGCAGGTAAGAAGCGGAGGACATAGGAACGACCTTTGGGTATATGGGAGTTAATTAACTAGGAATTTACTCCTACTTCCATTTGCTAGCATTTTTCATCTGCAAAGTGTTAGCTTTGCACAGCTCAGAATAGTTGAAATTGGTAATACTACGAAATAGTGTGCCCTAAGGTGGAAATTAATTTACAGAATAGCGATTTAATAGTGCGTATTTAATAAGCAAGCTTTCATTGAAAAATATTTAGTTCATAAAATGCACTTCTTTTGAAGCACATCAAAAAAGAATGCATCACATCATTTTAAAGGGTTTAAAGGGTATGATTCAAAATGTAGTTTGATACTTCGATATTTTTTTGATATTTTTGGATCGAATTAATATAGCTTTATCAATATATTATCAATATGTAATTATATTAATTAATCACTTCGTTTTACCTTCAATAGCATCCCTTGCCCAATTCATATGCGTTGGATAGCGTGGTGGATCAACTGTACAACAACCAGAACAACCAGGATGAGGACACCAACGATGAGGAGAGCAATGCCATCACGAATACGAATGGGGCCAACAACATACCCGTGGCAGCTCCAGCCATTCTAAGTCGTCGAGAGTCGGAGGATCGGAGAATCGGAGGCCTGAAGTGGGCGCAGCTGATGCGGCAGCACCGCTTCCAACTGCGCCAGTTGCAGGATCAGCAGCAGCAGGGGCGTGGCAGGGGCAGGCAGTACGATGCGGCAGCCGAGAGTTGGCGGAAACTGCAGCAGGCTCTGCAGGCTCAGATCGATGCGGACAATGAGAACTCGGGCTACGAGCTCACGAAGTGAACTTTGCGAACCCAATTGCCAAATTGAAATTATGCAGATAACACGCCAGCTAAGCCAGAAGAACAGATGGAAAAGCGAAATGAAAAGATATTTATCACACGCGATCGTTGCATGCCGGGCATCAATTAACAAAATCAATTTAAATCAATTACCGCTGTCGGCAAATGAGATCGGAGCAGGCACTTAAAATGTAGAATTCGTTGTGGTTTTTTATTATTAGACTTACTGAGCCGATCAGTGGAATCCTTTGGCCATGTTGCGTCACTGGCTGGATGCCGCAATAATGGCCTGCTTCGTTTTCGTTCACTTAACCGTACTTAATCCCTAACTAAGCATATGCAGATACGATCTTAAGAATTACCACTAATAAAAGCTAACATTGAGTGCATCTGTATCTGAGTCTGTATCTGTGTTCAAGCCTTGATTTTGGCGGGTATCTGGAAGCAAGCCGCATCCCCTTGCTTATCGCCCAGTCCCCAGTGGATCTCCAGGCTGACGGTTGGGTAGACGGGCAGGATCTTGAAGCTGTTCTTGTAGGTGTACACCTGGCCGGCCTTCAGGGGGCAGCCCACCTTCTTCTCGCCGGCCTCGTCGTAGATGTGCGGACAGGCACTGGTGCCGTAATATCCTGGGAACGGCAGCGGCACGTCCAGGATAATGCCCTGGATGTCGGAGGTCAGCTCCTGGAAGTCGCGCTCCGGCCGGATCTTCATCTCAATGCTGGCCTCCGTGTTGCGCTTCAGGATGCACTTGCTCTTGGGGCAATTGGAAATGGACACTTCTCCGGCACTTAGGGCCTTGGATTTGGCTAGGGTCGTAGAAGATGAATAAGTTGTATGCAAAATAAATTAACAATTAATAATGTTACTATCTTTCGATTACGAAATAACTATCCTACTGATATAGATTTTTCTACAAATTAAACGACTTAGCCGTTTTATTACAGTTCATCGACATTTAAATTTCACTGTTTGTTTTTAATATTTTTGTATCTAGTTTTTACTTACATTTAGGGCAAGGACTGACATCCGTGGACGACGTAAAGCCGATCAAAGCGGCAAAGATCAGAAAGAATCCCGAGCTCAGCTTCATTGTGGTGATGTTGATGTGGCTAATTGTAAGAAAAGTAAGACGAATTTAACGAGAGGTCGCTAATTGCTGGTCAACTAAATTGGACACGGGCCGGCCGAGTTCGAGAGCTTTGGCCTGTTTGATAACACACTCGAGTGGTAATGGCCAAAAACCGGTTGCAGTTGGTCCAGTTGGAGCAAAAAATAAAATACGAAAGATCGACCTTGACTGCAAATCATCTCACAAAAATCACAAAAAGTCGTAGTAAAGTCGGCAATTGCAACTTGTACAGCGCAAGGCGACTTCTGTTGAGATACAAATCTTACAGTCGGATGCTAACTAGCTTGCACGTATAATACATTTAATATTTACAATTGCACTTAAGTTTGAAGTTACGTTTGCTCCCTTATTGGAGTCAATCATACTGGAAACCCCTGGATATCTGCTAATTTACCAGTTTTCCTGACAATTGCTGTCAATTTCGAGTGGGTAGCTTCCAGGTTTTCGCACGGAGCTCTCGGGAGCTGGTACTTGAAGCTACGAACGACGATCAACAACTGAGCCACCGATCTCATCGCATGTTCATTTTATATATATAAAATCAACGACGACTGCTGAATCACAGGCTTAATTGAGTACTGCCCATTTTCTTCGCCTGTGCGGCGTGCTAAGCGCTTAATTACATCTAGAAATGAAGACTATTAACGATTATAGGCCATATCCATTACTGTTTACATGTCAATGCTTTTGTTTGCCTCTAAGCCTTAGAAGAAAAGTAAAACCTGCTACAACTTGAAGTCTATAAAAAGAACCTGAATTGAAGGGAAAACTGGCTAGATATCTTTATTTTTATGAATCTACCAAATGTGAACCATCACTGTATTCCCTATCATTATAAAATTTTCTGAGAAAAAATGCCAGTGTAAGCACACATTTCTCGCACAATTTCGACCTTAGATTTGACCACTTTTAGACAGAGGCCAACAAAGGTGCGAATTCACTGCCTGCTTTAAGCCAATTGATGAAATAACTGCAAAGTCTGGAGCCCATAAAAAGCTTTACAAATCATTTTTGTGTGGCCCAAACAAACAAGAGTGCTTAAAATGCAAATGCATTCATATGAACTCACATATAGACAAACCTGATGCCATATAACAAACGAATACTGTCTGAGCTCGACTTGTGATATGATATTGTAGACATTTAAGCCCTGTCAATAGATCGCTAAACCGATAAGGCTGTCTCATTTGATATGCAAGGCACCTCACTTACGACTTGTGAGTAAACGCTTCAATTTAGTTAAACTGTTTAAGAATTGCCAACGCGATACCCTTTGTTCGGCCGATCCAGGAAGTTGATGACTTGTTGAATGTGACGCGCCCACTTTTAAGTTCATTCCAATTAGCATTTAGAAAGTGGAGCTTCCAACGAAGCCCAGAACACAACAAAACGAAACGAATTGAAATTGAAATCCAGAACTTTGCGGAAATGTGACTGAGTACACATAAAAAAAGGCTAGGTAATAGCTGCTCTTTGCTGAATGCTTTTATAAAGGTGATATATTTATTTATGTAACTTTTTTTCATTACTGATTATGAAAATTAGAAATACCACGCACGGATGAGAATGACAAGCTTACTTTTTATCCCTCTCTTACGTTACACCTTTTTAGTTTTATTTCGAATAGGTGTTTTATCGCGCAACTGCAACGTTTGAAGCTTCAAATGCAACTGACAGATATCGAAACCGAAAGCTGCGCCCAAGTAGATAAAAATCCCACTGAACTGGCCGGTTTGTCTGGCCTGAAAAACTTTACACAATGCTGCAGAATTGAAAGTTTCCGGCCTTTTGTGGAGTAGGTATAGTGGTCTAGTGCTTCGAGCGGTCAACGTTCAATCAGTTACTGCTCTCCGCTGAAATCGAGAGGAAAGTAAAGGAAACTCGAACTATTAGTTAGGAGAGGCTAAAGCGCATTGAGTCTTTGTTGACACTTCCCATACGGAACGAGCTGGAAGTGGCAAATATTGGGGAAATGTCGATTATTTGTTCGCCAAACTCGGAAGTTATTTTCTGTTTTAAATTATTTCCTGTTGAAAACTTAAAATTTCCATTTTTTCTCTTCCTTGCTTAACATGAAATATAACAAATTTCCAAAATACTTATAAAATGTACGTTTTTATGAAGAATAAACTGTATTTCTTTGCTTTCTTTTTAGGGAGTATTTTCCAGTGCATTCAAATGTGGCAAGCACTCAACGCTAGGTGGAGCCTCACCTTACATTTACATTTGACACTCAATATACATGCTACATCATTTATACGTCGCTAGGTGTCGCACCGCAAATGTAGACGCAATATAATGTCATGTCAATTTTCGATTGACATGGATTTTATTTATCTGCAAGATAATCTTACATTTTAAATATGATTTCTGGCGTAAGACTGGTTGCTGGTGAGAATGCCGACCCGGTCCCAGAATAGATGTCGGGGGGAATTACACAATAATTGAGTATCCCACTTATTTATCCAGGCAAAAGTTGCAGCAGTTTGAATTTTTATAGTACTCTTGCCGTTGGACTCAATGTCTGGCGAGCACGTCGTTCAGCGGCGAAGCATCTTTGCGCGGCGAAAAGTCGTTCAGCGGCGAAGCGTCGTTCAGCAGCGAAGCGTCGTTCAGCGGCGAAGTGACGTTCTGCAGCGAAGTGTCGTTCAGCAGCGAAGCGTCGTTCAGCGGCAAAGTGTCGTTCAGCAACGAAGCGTCGTTCTGCAGCGAAGTGTCGTTCAGCGGCGAAGCGTCGTTCAGCGGCGAAGTGACGTTCTGCAGCGAAGTGTCGTTCAGCAGCGAAGCGTCGTTCAGCAGCGAAGCGTCGTTCAGCAGCGAAGCGTCGTTCAGCGGCGAAGCGTCGTTCAGCGGCGAAGTGACGTTCTGCAGCGAAGTGACGTTCTGCAGCGAAGTGTCGTTCAGCAGCGAAGCGTCGTTCAGCGGCAAAGTGTCGTTCAGCGGCGAAGTGACGTTCTGCAGCGAAGTGTCGTTCAGCAGCGAAGCGTCGTTCAGCAGCGAAGCGTCGTTCAGCGGCGAAGCGTCGTTCAGCGGCGAAGTGACGTTCTGCAGCGAAGTGTCGTTCAGCAGCGAAGCGTCGTTCAGCGGCGAAGCGTCGTTCAGCGGCGAAGCGTCGTTCAGCAGCGAAGCGTCGTTCAGCGGCAAAGTGACGTTCTGCAGCGAAGTGTCGTTCAGCAGCGAAGCGTCGTTCAGCGGCAAAGTGTCGTTCAGCAGCGAAGCGTCGTTCTGCAGCGAAGTGTCGTTCAGCAGCGAAGCGTCGTTCAGCAGCGAAGTGTCGTTCAGCAGCGAAGCGTCGTTCAGCAGCGAAGCGTCGTTCAGCAGCGAGGGAAATGGCGCTATTTGTTTGTTTTGGGGACCGCTAGGTCTGCCGCAATAGCGAGAGAACCCTAATTCGGGGACCGTTAGGTCAGCCACGAGAAAGAGAGAGAGACGGATAGGGGGTTCGAGCCGAGCGGTAGAGGGGGAAGGAAAATCACTACGGCTAACGGGTGTGCGCGATAGCCGTCACACGATTGCGGCACGAGCTGTGCGACATGTTGCGACGTCTGGTTCGAACCACAGCTCCTGGACTTCTGGTCGTTCGATTCACCAATGAAAAAGTTAGTAGCCATGCCTCTATTCCGGTCACCATTGACTGTAACGTTCTGGTCGTTTTTGAAGTACGGACCAATGATTCCAGCAGCCCGTAAAGCGCACCAGTCATTTTTTTTGGATGTTGTAATGCTATTTCTACATACACTTGAGCGTTAGATTCAGTGCAAATCCAGCAGTTTTGTTTCTTGACGTCGCCATTCAACTAAAAGTCGCTAAGCGATAAAGTCGACGTAGTGCTCGATCCATTGGTGGATCATATTTGTAATCGACATTCCACGTCGACTTATCTAGAACATTGCATCCGCATCCGGCTTATGTGGGGAACTTTTGTTTGTTGATGTCGACGTTGTGCGCGATATGTATTCCGCACAGATCCATTAATTTCTAAAAATGATATTATTATATATTAATATTATTTATTAAATTTCCGCAGAGGCGTTGAGGATTTTAATCTTTCTTTGTACTTTTAATATAGTTTGTACAAAAAAATCGAACTGCCTTGATCCTGTCACAACTCAAGCTTGTCAGTCTGATCAAATTGCTCTCAATCTATATTTGTACCATATTTTCAGTATGTACAAAATTCTAAAAGTCCGCCTCGCTGTAGCGTTGTTACCACTGTGTTCCAGCAGGGTATGGTACAGCGGGAAGGACCCCAAAAAAGCGCCAGTTAAAGCGTCCTGCCGCAGAACAAGCACTTGAGAATTATAGTCGTTTAATAATAGCAATTTAAACCCTCATAAAAAGATTACGCTTTTCATCGTCTTTTTTTTATTCATCGTCTCTCCGTTTTTGAATTTTAAATAGTGAACTACATTTGAATTGTACAGTCTAGTTAATATTTTACATTTAGTCCTTAATAGTACACAATGATGCAAATGTATTTGCGTATAAATTTATGCTTTTAGTTCTCCTGGGTTTTGAGTTTTGAGTCCAGTCAGTTTTTCTGGATGTAATGCTATTCCGACAGTTTTGTTTCTTGACGTCGACATTCAACTAAAAGTGAGATCCATCGCTAAGCGTTAAAGTCGACGTAGTGCTCGATCCATTGGTGAATCATATTTGTAATCGACATTCCACGTCGACTTATCTAGAACATTGCATCCGCATCCGGCTTATGTGGGGAACTTTTGTTTGTTGATGTCGACGTTGTGCGCGATATGTATTCCGCACAGATCCATTAATTTCTAAAAATGATATTATTATATATTAATATTATTTATTAAATTTCCGCAGAGGCGTTGAGGATTTTAATCTTTCTTTGTACTTTTAATATAGTTTGTACAAAAAAATCGAACTGCCTTGATCCTGTCACAACTCAAGCTTGTCAGTCTGATCAAATTGCTCTCAATCTATATTTGTACCATATTTTCAGTATGTACAAAATTCTAAAAGTCCGCCTCGCTGTAGCGTTGTTACCACTGTGTTCCAGCAGGGTATGGTACAGCGGGAAGGACCCCAAAAAAGCGCCAGTTAAAGCGTCCTGCCGCAGAACAAGCACTTGAGAATTATAGTCGTTTAATAATAGCCATTTAAACCCTCATAAAAAGATTACGCTTTTCATCGTCTTTTTTTTATTCATCGTCTCTCCGTTTTTGAATTTTAAATAGTGAACTACATTTGAATTGTACAGTCTAGTTAATAATTTACATTTAGTCCTTAATAGTACACAATGATGCAAATGTATTTGCGTATAAATTTATGCTTTTAGTTCTCCTGGGTTTTGAGTTTTGAGTCCAGTCAGTTTTTCTGGATGTAATGCTATTCCGACATACACTTGAGCGTTAGCTTCAGTCCAAATGCAGCAGTTTTGTTTCTTGACGTCGACATTCAAGCAGAAGTGAGGTGCATCGCAGCTTTTGACGTCGACATTCAAGCAAAAGTGAGGTCCATCGCTAAACGTTAAAGTCGAAATAGCGCACTAAACAGTC